TGTGTGTGTGTGTGTGTGTGTGTGTGTGTGTGTGTGTGTGTGTGTGTGTGTGTGTGTGTGTGTGTGTGTGTGTGTGTGTGTGTGTGTGTGTGTGTGTGTGTGTGTGTGTGTGTGTGTGTGTGTGTGTGTGTGTGTGTGTGTGTGTGTGTGTGTGTGTGTGTGTGTGTGTGTGTGTGTGTGTGTGTGTGTGTGTGTGTGTGTGTGTGTGTGTGTGTGTGTGTGTGTGTGTGTGTGTGTGTGTGTGTGTGTGTGTGTGTGTGTGTGTGTGTGTGTGTGTGTGTGTGTGTGTGTGTGTGTGTGTGTGTGTGTGTGTGTGTGTGTGTGTGTGTGTGTGTGTGTGTGTGTGTGTGTGTGTGTGTGTGTGTGTGTGTGTGTGTGTGTGTGTGTGTGTGTGTGTGTGTGTGTGTGTGTGTGTGTGTGTGTGTGTGTGTGTGTGTGTGTGTGTGTGTGTGTGTGTGTGTGTGTGTGTGTGTGTGTGTGTGTGTGTGTGTGTGTGTGTGTGTGTGTGTGTGTGTGTGTGTGTGTGTGTGTGTGTGTGTGTGTGTGTGTGTGTGTATGACACTTTGCATGCAACTTCCGTCAGCGTGTCCGGAGAATATCTCAAGAGGGGAAAGGATGAAGGGGGCGTATGATACGTCATTAGACGCGTAATGGCCTGTAGATGACTGCACGCATATCAGATTTTGCAAAATGAGCTATTTTCAACGTTAAATTTAAGTTTTTCCTTAAAAATCGGATACCCTCTTTGTTAGGAAGAAATTAGCATACGCCGGAAGTGGGAGTAGCCTATATAATTGGGGAGAGGACGCGATTTTTATTTTTTTGTGACATAAAAGTGCGGAAGGTTTGTGCAAAGCGAGCGATATCAGGGTTGGACGGGGCCAGGGTTGAAAAGTCGCGAAGCGGCTTTTCAACCCTGGTACAACTTTAAAAATATTCAAATACACATAACGTTAAGCCTAAACTGAAGCCCAAGCCTAAGCCGAACCTAAGCCGAAGCATAAGCATAAGTCCAAACCTAAAACTAGCCGTAACGCTAAGTCTAAGCGTAAGCTCAACCTAAGCCTAAGCCTAATCGAAACCTTGAGCACAAGCTAAGCCAAACTCCAAGCCTAATCCGGAAATCAAGCCGGCTAAGCCAAGCTTAGGCAGGTTTAAACCGAACTCTCTCGACCGAACTCGACACCAACATTTACAAATCCCCACGCCCTGCCACATTTTGCTTCCTGCTCGCCCAAGAAAAGAAACGGTACCCACCAAACCGGACATTTCGCTGTCGCCGGGCCGTTTTTTGGGCGGAGACGACCTTCTCCATCGTGATCCGCTGGCCGCCTGGAAATGGAAAGAGTACTCTTTCGGACTACCGGTTTTAGCCTTTTCTAATCTGAAAAAAACCGGAGACCGGATCAGGCATTCAAGCCATTGCAAGTTTTGAATTTCATATTTTAAAAGCTCTAGTTTTGAGATGTTCGCGGGCTTTTTTTAGGCGTACCCACCAGAAGACCTCGACGGCAGCGTGGATTTTGCCTTTTTGTACATATCTAAAAAAGGTAATGAGCGGGAGAGAGAGAAGGAGAGAGAGAGAGAGAGAGAGAGAGAGAGAGAGAGAGAGGGGTGACAGAGGCAGAGACATCATTATTTCCGCTAAAAATCAGGACAAAAAGCTGAGATACAGCCAATCAATAAGTCCGCAAAAAGTCTGTAATACAAAGCTTCGCCGGCGGCCCCCAACAAATTCGGGTATCAATTTCCTCCGGTAATACCCAATTTGGCGGGGTCCGTTTTTTCGCGGGCCCCAGGGAAAAGCCCATCGTACGACAATAATAAATCCGTAATGGGTGGGCATGGGTGACGAAGCGATGTTTTAATGATCGACGAATTCCTAAGGTATATCACTAGGTTGTAAGTGCAAACAAACATCTAAAATTGTTTTAAACATCAAGAATACTAAGATTTTAGCAATATTTTTTAATAGTCAACATTTCATAATTCAAGCCCCAAATTAACCCTCGAAAATCGATGCCAATTCGAGTTTGTTTCAAGAAATATTCCCACCACACGGCCACCACCTTTTTGCGCTAATGGCCGTGGGCCGGCAATCCTGGGGACCTCGTGGTAATTGATATTTTGCGGCCCACGGGCTCGATTGGGAAACTAGAAAGTGTGATTTTTTTATTTGCGAGCTTTAAGGAGTTTTTAATCGAGTTTTTACACTGGAACGATCAAAAAAAGCGACAAATGTAGAAAAATCAATATTTTTGTATTTTTAAATAAAATGTTGTAAAGTTTTTGCGTTGTGGGTAGTAAAAACAGCTTTGAAAAACTTCCTCTCTTTCTATTACAATAATAAAGCTGAAACGAAAACTAACGAAAATGTTGTTTCCTGCCCTGAAACCCCCCCCTTCCCCCGCCCGTAAATGCGAAAGAACCCCGTAAGCAACAAAAACCGTCTTGCAGGTCTCCTTATGCATAAAAATAATTGAAATAATGCTTCACTAATTCTGAGGTCATCGATAAACGCGAAAACCAATCACCAAGACGACCTTGCCCAAAATTCCCAAAAACACAGCCGAAACCCCAAAATTACAGTAGATCCCTCCAGGACCACGGGTTTCCGGTGCCCAGCCCCCGGAGGTATCGATGGCAACTGGCTACAAATTTGTCGAGTTTTTGAAAGAACAATTATCGCCGCTTCCCCCTGGGGGGAGAGACCCAACCAACCACCGGGGCCAACCCGCTCATTACCCGGCTTGACGCTCGCCCCCGACAAAACTCATTTTTTCATCTGAACTCAACTGACTGATCGTCAAGAATCGCGCAAGACTTAGTTAGGCTTCAGCGATTAGCTTTGGGCTTAGGCTTAAGCTTTGGCTTGGCTTAGGCGCCCCCAAGCTCATAAAATGTATAAAATTATTGAGTTCCTGGTAAAAAATGTATGAAAATGGTCCAAAAAAGTTTAAAAACCTTTATAACTACCAAAATATCATACCAAAAAGTTAAAAAATATCATATCAAAGATATCTAAATATCTAAAGTACTAAAAACACTATAAAATAAATTATATATTATCAACAGGTAAAAGATAATAGCCGGGAACAAAAATTAGTTTGCGCGGCTAATAATCCCCTCTAACCGTCCAGTACCCGGGCAAGGCCTGGGGCAAAAACTATTTATTCGAATCGGTACAATATCAGCGAAACACGTGGTGATGAATGCGTTTTTTTCTAATGTAGTGCTTCAGACGTCCGCCGGCTGCTGCCCGGAAGCATCCGATTGCTGCTGCCGCGGCGCTACGGACTAAAGTTGAAAGTTTTACAAATCCAATAACTCTGCTGCATTCTTTACCCACCTTGTGGCGACCATTCGAATCCAGCTCTTCGCTAAAAAAAAAATTTTCTAAAGCTTGATTGCTCGACCAACACGTTGAGATAGTAGCAGGACACGAAGAGAAAGATCAAAAACGCCACCAGCGACATGACGACAAAACTCGTGGCTGAAAACATGGCTTAATCATACCACATCTGTGTTTAAAATCGGCTTTTCTGTTCAAAACACTGTTTAAAAACTGCATTGAAAAGAAAGACAGGTTACTATTAAACTAGCGATTTTTTTCAAATTTGAGCTATTAAACTTTTTCACAACACTCACCGAGAATCTGCACAACCATATTGTCGCCTGGATCGAGTGGGTAGCTGGGCACCAGGCAGAGGTACTAAAAAATGACAATTTCACGAGCTAAGGAAAACTCTCAAACCATTTCCAATTCTTCCGCTGTGCAATTCTCCCTCAGGGGCACGCAATCGCTCTAAACGAGCTTGATTTTCACGTATTCTGTCTCTTTATGGTGTTAATGCCGATCTACAGTTAATATTTAGGGCGTAAAGTTTATTTTACCGCCTACCAAATTTCAGATCGCGACTAGCCATTAGTATACAGGGCTGTGAAATATATGAAAATGTTCGCCTTGTTCCGTAGAACCATAGCTTCCTCGACAGAAAGGCTTCATCTAAAATTTCTCGAGGCGCAAAAGTCGGGATCGCTGCTGCGGGTAAGCTAACTTTTAATTGGCTGCGGGTTTTTAACACCGCGTACAGCTCTTCGTTACTATAAATAACCCGTAAAATCTATACCGACATTATCTACAATCCTTTCTATTGCAATCCAGTCTAGATTTTACCCGCTGCTCGGCGAGGCCGATCATGCACATCGGTGGGCCAGTACAGTTGCGCGGCCTCGGCCTCCTGCCCAGCTCGTCATCGCTGCAGTTCCGCCCGTTTTCAAACGACTGTGACGGCTCCCCATTTGCCGAAATCGCCGTGGCATTGACCTAAAAATGTTGTAAAACACATAAAAAGCTTTACCGTCGTTCCGTTCGTCCCGTTCGCGCCATTCGCCCCATGGACGCCGACATGTAGGGCAGCGAAAAGCAGCAGCAGCAAAGCCTACAAAATTTTATATTTTTTCATTAGGCCCACCATGCAAGCCAGAAGCTTTGACGTGTAATGAGAAGATTACCTCTGACCGTAATCAGGTGTCAGATGGAAATTCCGCTTTTTCTTGTACTAAAAATAATTTTTGTGTTTTTTACAAGGCTTCTTTTAAAAATTCTTTTTGAGTTACTAGTTGCTGCTTTGCGTTTTTCCTGTTCCCCACTGTTCTTTAATATTTTAAAAACACTTCCAGATCGAAAATTTAATCGCAAACGGGCTTTCTGCCCCCGCACTTTTTCCCAGCCCTTGTTTTAAAAAAACGACTTATAGGTCACGTCATCCTCTCATAATAGCCATCCTTCAGCCATGAATATATTGCCAGAAAGCTGGAACCACCGTTCCTTTCCCCCAGCGAGCCCGCGAGCATTTATTGACCTTCCCGGCGGCGGCATTGCGAAAGCCTTTCCTGCGCTTTTAGCCGGCCCTCGCATCCCACTCTTCCGCTCTCCCCTCTTTTCCTTAAAGCTTTAATTTCTTGTTTACAGGTAGTCCTGGCCGGCCTATTCACCGATGAACTTGAAGCAGCTCGCTGCCGAGAGTAAGCCATTACCTTTCCTCATTTATTTTTGTTCCAGAAATCCTTGGCGAGGTGCTGCGCCCATTGAAAGATGTAGGGCGTCTCAAAATTCTCGTGGTCGACCCGTTTACGAAGGAAATGCTGTCGGCCTGCTGCACCATGAGCGATGTGACTGCTGAGGGAATCGCGACAAGTTGGCGGCTTTATAGCTCCGGCCAAGCCTTTCTTTAGTCGAGGACCTGATGAAAAGCCGCGAGCCGTTGCCGAGCTTGGAAGCCATATACTTTCTTTCGCCGAGCCACGAGTCGGTGAGTAGTTTTTTGTTTTTTTCTACAAGGATTTTTAGGTCAGTCGCCTAATCGGCGACTTCGCCTTCCGCACCCAGTACCGAAGCGCGCACGTTTTCTTCACTGAGGCCTGCCCCGATGCGCTGCTCAACAACATTGCCAAGTCGACGGTGATGCGCTCCATCAAAACGTGCAAGGAGCTCGGTCTGGCGTATATTCCGTACGAAGCTCAGGTATATGCAGAGTTGGCTGTTTGTAAACGTTAGATTTAGGTTTTCACGCTGCATCTTCCCGACACCATGCCCAAGTTCTTTCCCCCGCAAAAATCTGAGGACTTTTGGGATCGGATCGAGATGATCGCCGATCGGATAGCGTTGTTGTGTGTGGCAGTGGGCGATATCCCGTCCATCAGGTAAATTTTTCGGAGGAACTGTGCGAAATTTAGCCAGATTTTTACCCAGATTTTATACTTTCACGATATTTTTAGTTATCGCGAGGCATTTACTCGTAACATCGAACTTGCGCACCTCGTGGAAAACAAGCTTTCCATCTTGCGCAAGGAGAACCCGTCGCTCGGGGCTGCAGATCCGGAAAAGATCCAGCCAGGGCTGATAATTTTGGGTCAGCTCTCTTTCTTGTCAAAGCAATTTTTATTTTCAGATCGCGGCTATGACCTGACGACGCCGCTGCTTCACGAGCTTACTGTGCAGGGCATGGTCCACGATTTGTTGCCAGTCGACCGGGGCGTTTACATGTATCAGGATGGAAACGAAAATCCGAAGAAAATGGTATTTTTCCGGGATTTACGATAGTTTGATTTAGCTGGTGCTTGATGAGAACAATGAAGAGTGGATGGGCACGAGACATTCGCATATCGCGGACGCGTCCAAATTAATCAGCGGCAAACTGAAGGTATGATGCATCTTTTGGCTTAATTGTGGTTTTCAGGATTTAGCAGTGGCTGACAAGGAAACGAAGCGGGATACGCTGAAGGTAAATTTACGAAACAGCTAGAAAGAGCTATTTTAGGATTTATCATCGCTGATCCGGACTGCGCCCGAGCAAAAAAAGAAGCTGGATCGGCTGGCGGGCGTCATGTACATGATCGAGCAATGCATGGCGCGTTATTCGTCCGGCGTCGACTTGTTGTGTCAAATCGAGCAGGTTTTTTGTTTTATAAAAGTAGCAACCGGCTCTTAGGACCTGGCCACCGGCGCCGACACCCATGGCGAGCCCCTAAAAGACGCGCAGCGGATGATTCTCGGTCCGTTAGCCGACCCGAAAGTTCGGCCCGAAGATCGACTACGCCTACTGTTGCTCTACATTCAATACTGCGGAGGTGCGCTTTGAGAGTAGCTATAATGCGCGCAAATAATTTAGGCGTGACCCAAGATGGGCTTCAAAAACTCGTCAAGCATGCCCAGTTCCGTTCCACGGAGAGCGACATCATCAAGAATATCGAAAACTTGGGCCTGACTGTCGTGTCCGAGGTATTTCGTTATTTTGCGAAATAAAATTGCGCTTGATCAGTTCGTGCAATCGGGTGGTAAGCTGACGGCGCGACGGGAGCGCCCATCGACGCCGGTCTACAACACGAGCAGGTACAGGATTTTTGCGCCATCTTTTTCGATGCTTCCGGAAAACAGACTGGCTAAATAGCCCATTAATGGCCGACTTCAGTTCTGAACGATTCCATTTTTGGAAAATGGATATGCCCGATGGTGGAAAAAATCAAACATCAAAAGCTCCGTGGCGTAGACGCCCGGAGAGACTCGAAAGTTCGTTTTCCAATTTTGGAAAAGCCGCTTGTTACGAGAGATTTTATTCTCTATCGAATAATTTTTGTTTCGACTTGAAAAACGTATTTTATCTTAGATGGGTCCCACTGCTCAAAGACATCTTGGAAGACGCGCTAGATGAGACAATGGACCAGAACGTGTACCCGCATTTGCCCGGTAATTTTTTAGGATAGCCATCGAATTTTTATTGTTTAGGAAAGCGCGTCTCCATCAGCAGCCAGGTTCCCATGTCCGCTCGCTACGGCCAATGGCATAAAAAGAAACCGGACAATGCGTTGAGGTGAGACAAGCCTTGTCGCATCGAAATTCCTTGCTTGTAGCTCGGGACCCCGTCTAATCGTGTATATCATCGGCGGGATGACGTATTCCGAGATGCGCACCGTTTACGAAGTATCCCGCGAAAGGAATTGTAGTATCCTGATCGGTACGTTTTTATGCGCTCATTGTAATCTATCCTTTCAGGCTCCGACCAAATCATCACACCCGATTCCTTCCTGAATGAGCTGGCCGCGATGAACCGCAAATCGGCCCTGCACTTCGAATCGTTTATCCGATGTACTGTCGTCGATGAGCAGGAAAGCCAAGTTTAAACTGTAGTAATGTGATAGAATAGCGTTATTCCTATCCCGATCTCTTCACCACTGTGATTCCTGCAACCCACTTGCTTTTGCGACCGAATAAAGTTTTACGGTATTAAAATTTATAAACGGGCTTGCACAGCTATAACAAATGTAACAACGGTACTTATAAAATTGCACAATCGCTGCACGTCAACACTCAAAACAAAACAAAAACAAATTGATCGATACCCTAGATTTAGAGGGTGACGGAGAGGGATTGGCCGCGAAGGGATTGGACGTCGCTCGTGGCATGCACAGCTGATCCATCAGGCAGCGTCAACTTCAGAGCGCCGCTCCAGAGGTTTAGTGCAGATCGGACCTAAAATAAAGGTAAGCTGCGGATAAGGACTCTGTTTTACCTCGTAAACCAGATCCGAGTATTTTGTCAAACGCTGTTCCCCGGCGGTCAGGCGCAGGGTGAATGAGGTGCCTTTGTGGCTGACGGTGACGCTGTCATCTGAGGCAGTTGCAGGAGCCGATGAAGTGCCGACCAGCCACAACTAAAAGAAGAAAAGTAGCGAACGCCTTTAAAAACTGCTTCCAAAGATAATCAATCCGAAAACCCCCTACCAGGAATCATCATTTTTTGTGATTTCTAGGCGGCCCTCCATGCTATTTTCTACAGCAGCTTATTTTCAAACAGTAAGTACATAGAATGATTCAATCAATAGTGCGCGGCACTACTTACCCGAATTTCTCCAGCATCCTTGATTTTCGTCAAATTGTCCGGCAATACAGCTGCGGCCTTTTCCGACTTCGGCAAAGCCTCGAACACCAGTGGCGTATTTGTGGCCTAAAAGGAAGTAAGCTTTTCCGAAAGCTTCAGTCTACCTTTTCCACGTTATCCTTGTGCGCTTTGAGAACGGTTGCCAACTTGCAGTCTGGCGGGCTGATGGTGCAGTAGATCGTCGCCCGGTCGCTCTGGATGAGCTTGGCCTAACCGGGAATATTTCGTCAACCTCAATAACGTACCGCTTTGCGCAGCTTGTTGATGCGGTTTGTCACCTCGCGGGCAAGACCCTCCTCGACCAGGGAATCATCCTCGGATACGTCCACAACAATGATAGTCTAAAAAAATTCAAGGATAGTTTAAGGAAAAAAGGGTACATTGGCATCCGAGTGATATTCGTGATGGCTGGCCTGGTCGTCGCCAACGCCACCGTATTTCACCGTCACCTCTTCAGAAGTCAACTCGTGGCCCAGGACGACGAGCTTTCCTGAAACCGAAAGTTTTCTTACTTAGCCATTTGCTTACCTTCATTCAGGAACTTCTCCAACTCGGCTTGGCTGATCTCCTTCTTGAGATATTCGCCGACCTTCTTTTGGTCACCCTTCAGACGAGCGCCCAGTAGACGGAAATTAGGTTCAGCCTGCAAGCGAACGTTTCGTGCCTCAAAATAATTCGTACCTTTAGCTGAACTCCGTATTGGTCCTTGTCACTGCTGACCACCAGTTTTCGAACGTTCAGCTCGGAGAGGATGTACTGCTCGAGCTCGTGCACAGCACTCAGGAAAGTCTTGTCCCGGTTGATGACAACCATCTCTTTCAACGGGTACTAAATAGAGGTTTCACAAGGAAACGAGTCATTTTACCTTGACCGCAATGCCCTTCTTGTCACGGACGACGCGAACCAAATCCATCACGGAGCGCATGGCCTGAACGAAAATTTGATGGCACAAAATCAAAATACCTGAACGCTAGTTTCGACGCTCTCGTCGATGACGCTCTCGTCCGGTTGCGGCAGGAGGGTGAAATGCACGGATTCCTCAGATGCCCCAGTCAACTAAAATAAATGGGAAATTGGTCGATGAACAGTAAGGATACCGGCAGAATTTGCTTCCAGACATATTCCGTAAAGAATGGCGTGAACGGCGCCATCAGACGGCAGATGATCGACAAGACGCGAGTCAACACCGATAGCGAGACGACCTGCTGGTCAACGCCAAGCTCTCCCTAAACAAATAGCTAAGAAACGAGCGATGCCATTACCTTAATGCGCTTTCTGTTCAAGCGGATGTAGCAGTTTGTGAGCGTATCGAAGAAGCGGGTCAAGGGGGCCACGACGGTGTAGAGACGATATCGAAAAAGCAAGCATATGAAAACATTTAGAAACATACTCAGCCATCTCCGCCGTTACGAAGCGTACCAACGAGTTGGTGAACGATTCGATCCAACGATCCATGACATTCGCGTCCTTCGGGAGCTCCTTGAGAGCAAACTTGGAGCCGGACTCCTGAATTGAGCATAAAGCATTGTTCCTGGAGATACAAGAGCAATAAAATAAAGAGAGAAAAACTGAAGCTCACCTCAAATGCCTTGATATTCTGGCCCAAAAAGCGATAAGCGTTGAACCAGGGCAGGAAAACGTCCTTCAACAGCTCGTTGACCCCAGTCTCCCGGAAGCGCAGGTTCTCGCCACGAACGACGGGTGAGTTGATCAGGTACAACCTAATATTGCGGTAATACAAGCCGACACCACAAGTCAACCTCAAGGCATCTGCTCCATATTTGTTGACGACCAGCATCGGATCTGGGAAATTCTTCTTGCTCTTGGACATCTTGTTGCCGTCTTCGGCCAAGACGAGGCCGTTGCAGATAAGGTTCTAAAGAAACCAATTCATAGCTAGTAGCAAACCAACCTTGAACGGAGGACGATCAAAAAGCGCAGTCGAAAGCACGAGCAGCGTATAAAACCAGCCTCGTGTCTGGTCGATACCCTCGGCAATGAAATCGGCCGGGAAGTTCTCCTAAAAACACGTGTTTCAGCAGGACTAATAAACCAACCTCAAAACGGTCCTTATTCTCGAAGGGATAATGGTTCTGCGCGTACGGCATCGACCCGGACTCGAACCAACAGTCAAACACCTCGGAGGTGCGCTTCAACACGCCGCGCCCCGTGCGAGACGGGATCGTGATGTCGTCAACGCTGAAACACGGGTCATAGCATAAATAAAATTACGATACCTCTCCCTGTGCAAATCGGTGATCTTCTTCCCGCTGAGTTGTTCGAGCTCGGCAATAGAGCCGATGGGAACCACTTCTTCGCCGTCATCCGATACCTAAAAACATCACAAAAAATTTCATTAGCAAAACGCAGGAATTCAATTTCCATAAAAATGGCGAACAATGCAAAACGTACCCAAAGATTGATGGGAGTACCCCAGAAACGATTTCTCGACACAGCCCAGTCACGGGCATCCCGCAGCCAGTTAGCGAAGCGCTTCTCCTTCACAAAGTTAGGGACCCTAAATCAAAAAAAATCTTGAGAAGAAATTTCTTGCAGCACCAATATGTCTTCTCATTGTTTTCGAGCAGCTTGGGAACGATATCTTCGACGCGCACGAACCACGACGGCACGGCCTTGTAGAGAAGCGGCGTCTCCGAGCGCCAGCAGAACGGGTAAGAGTGCTCGACCTCGCCGCGATGGACCTAAAATACATTTTGGAGTTGCCATAAAACTCCTACCAAGTGCCCATTGTCCTTCAAATGCTTGATGATAAGCTTATCAGCATCCTTCACATACATTCCTGCCCATTCAGTGACATCGGAAGTAAATCTAGGAAAAATTGGAGCTGAGAGACGTTGATCTTACTTTCCCGTCTCATCAACAGGGCAGACAATTTTCATGTCTTTCGTGATGATGCCGTTCTCCAGGCAGCAGTGGAAATCGATCTATAAGTAAGGTATACATTGAATTTCCACGCGGATTACCTCTCCGAAATAGGGGGCTTCGTGCACAACGCCCGTACCCTGATCGGTGGTAACAAATGTGTTGGTCAGGACGCGGAAGGCGTTCGTCTGCTGACGCATATGTTTGAAGTAGGGGAAGAGGGGCTCATAGAGCGTGCCTTCCAACTTTTTGCCGAGGAACTAGAACGAGCAGATAACGTTTGCGAACTGGCAACGAATACCTTTTCGACAATCTCAAGGTCAGGGAGCTTGAGCTCGCCAAGTCGCGCCTCCATGACAATGTACTCGTTGCCAGTGGCCTTATCTAAATTACGTTACATCACACAACTATTAACATCGCACAAAACCTTTAGCAACGACGTATTCGAGATCAGGATGCACAACAATGGCCAAGTTGGAAGGAAGAGTCCACGGGGTAGTCGTCCAGGCGACTAGGTACCGCTTCTCCGTGTTTTCGACCTTGAACCCGACGCAGACTAAAGGGGATTGATTCCGTAATAAGGAAAAACAATACCTGCTGGGTCCTTGACCATTTTATAATTCTGTCCGGCCTCAAAATTGGAGATGGGCGTACTGCATGCCGTCGAGTAGGGCATGACCTTGAAATGAATAATTATAGAGGCTGCGAAAAGCCCTTACTTTGACGCCACGATAAACGAGGCCCTTCTTGTAGAGCTCGGAGAAGGCCCACCACACAGATTCCATAAACCAGGGGTACAGCGTCTTGTAGTCGTTCTTGAAATCGATCCATCTAAAGAAAGAAAAAATTATCTGGGGCAGGATATCATGCGAAAAGTGCATTATTCCGTGGAAACAGAAACACACCTTCCGAGTCGATTCACGCTAGTCTCCCATTCCGCTGAATAGCGCATGACAATTTTCCGGCATTCGGCATTATAGTTGCCGATTCCCATTGCATGGATGTCGGCTGGGCCCTTGATGCCCAGCATTTTATCAATTTCGAACTCCTAGATTACGTTAAAAAAACCAAAGAATTCATGATACCACTGGCATTCCATGTGTATCCCATCCGAAACGCCGTTCCACGTAGTACCCGCTCTGGTGTGCCCATCGCGTCACAATGTCCTTGATGGTACCTGGAAAAACTTTTTGTAAGAACAGTGATGGAACACAGACAGATGAACTAATTCCTGGGAGCCGAAATGCTTACCAGCAAGAATATGCCCATAATGCGGCAACCCAGTCGCAAACGGCGGACCGTCGAAGAAAGTGTAGCGCTTCCGGCCCTTGGACAACTCTACAGACTTCTCAAAAATCTTCTTTTCATTCCATTCCTGCAGTACGCGCTGCTCCTCCTCGGCAAAGTTGATCTTCTCGGGCACGGCGCCCGCGAAGGAATCGCCCATTGTCCTGAAAGATGCGTATGCTGTGCGAAAATGTCTCGTAAGTGAGAAAGGCGAGCACAAATTGTTTTCAAGTAGTAGAAGTATTTCGTCATGTGCCCCGCTGTCCTCTAAAGCCACCCAGCTGTCACTCTCCCGTAAAATTGCATAAAAATGATGAAAAGACACAGAAGCGGCAGCCTTGAGTGCCGTTTCAATAGGGCGCCAGCCGACTGGCAGCGGGGCTGCGATACGGTCGAAAAGGCGGTCTCTAGGGACCCACCCACCGTAGCCACGCGCAGAAAACCTTAAAGGCCTCTGGAAAGATGGGATTGGTCAAAAAGCAAGAAGAGGTGCACCGGCCGGGGGGTCGAACCAGGGACGGTCCGCTCCGCAGTCCAACGCGCTACCCCCACACCAAAGGGGTCGAGTGGGTGAGGGCGGCGGAGGGGCCCCAAGTACCCTAGGGCCGAATTGGTGCACGTTACTGGGCAACAATTCAAAATAAAGCTATTTACAAATAATAATAACGAAAACCCTACGGAAAAGCTTGCTAATAGCAAGGAAAGTACTCCCTGAATTTCCTGAAGTGTTTTATACCCTTTCCGGCGATTTTTTAACTAAAAAGCGCCCCATAAACCTCTTTTCGCTCAGAACATGGCAGTCTTCTATCCAATAAGCCTCAAATTTTTATCACCGATGGGGATGGCTAAAAACTATTTTTATGGAAGTTTCCAGCCAAAAATATAGTCAATCAAAAAAGTTATGGCTATAAACCCGTTTTCTGGAAGCCCAGTCGGGCGGTTTTGGGGGCCCTTACGCGATGGAAAGCGTGCATGGTATCGCCCCGTCGGTCCCTCACCCCTGGGGGCGCCCGGCCATCTTTCCAAGGGTCTTTAAGAAAAATCTCCCCACCCGGCAAAACCCACCTTTTTGGGGGATTCACCTTCCAACGATAATTCCTCCGAATTGACAACTGGATTTTAACGAAATGCTGCGGAAAAACAACCGCATGAAATATTCGTTGTCATCAACGTAGATTTTATTTTATAAATAAACATTTATCCTTCCTAATACGGTCAGGGAATGCAGATCATTGGGTACACGTCAGTCGGGGTAAACGGAGACAAGTTAGTGCTATACTAGGACGCTAGTAGAAAGCGGGAGAAAGGTACAATTTGACAATAAAATGCATTTAACTTTGGGGACGTAAATGAGAAACGAAAAAGGGGGGGGGGGCAAGATCGACTTTTTGAGCGATGAAGAGACCTTGGCAAAGTGCAATGATGTCGTGGGAACCGGAGACAACCATCTCATTTTCTCGCAGCTCGCCTAAAAATCAAAATGAAGCATTTTACCGGAAAAAAAAATTTAATTTCCTGGCAAAAAGGCTACCTGGGCCTTTGCAAAGGGGCTGCCGCCGCGGTCTTGGGCTCAGGTTTAGATGGTTTCTTCGCAGGTGCTGGCGCGCTAGAAAAAACGTTTTCATGTACGTAGGCATAATATACCTATTCTCAGTCTTCGCCTGGACCTTGCTGGTTGATGAAGTTTTTTTGGCAGCAGGCTTCTTTTCGCGCTCTTGAGAGTCCTGCAGCTGAAGCCCCTAAATAAATGCGGAATACGGTAGGGTGCTTACTTTCAAATTGTTCGCGATTGCAGTCTGCGAAGAAGTAGTGCTTCCTTGCGTGCCACCAGTCAATCTCCGACCAATCCTGGAGATTGAAGTTACGAGCAAGTGATTTTTATTACCTTGTAGGCTTCTTTGAAGGTGATGGTGTCTTCTGCTGACTGGATTTTACGGGCGGCGCAGGCGATACGGTATCAGCATCCGAGACATGCTTACCGCGTTTAGCTTTCGGACCCTGCAAAAAATGTCAGCTAAATCACTGGAGTACCTTTTCCACCGGTGTCGACGCGGTAAATCCTGGTTCGAGTGTGCTGCGAGTTGCTCGGCCGTTCTACATATAGATAGATGATAATTTTCTGGGCGTATCACTAACCTGGCGGATTGGGGAGGGAGCAATTTCATCGTTGGGGATAAATCTTGACGGTCGGTTCTGAAAAAGAATCGTAAGATACCAAAAGCTCAGAGCACCTTCTTCAGCGCAGGCTGCTTTGTGGGTGAAGACCGTTTGCCGGGAGCACTGGATGCCGACACATTTCGCCGCTGGGTGGTGTTCTTCTGATCCGACGCAGTGGCATCTTTCAGAGATCTCTCTTCCTCCTCCGCCTCGTTTTGTTCTTCGATGGTTTCTTCGCTCTCGCTATCCGAACGGGTTTGTCGTCGTTTCCGGCGAATTCTAAATAAGACAAAATAGATTTTATTTCAGCTACCGTTTTTAAAAAAAACTCAGGCGCACAAATTCTAACCTGCCGTTCGTCGCTTTGCCTTGTGCAGTCGAATTTCCGGAAAGCTTCTTCCCAGGCTTCCACTTCCCAGCCCGAAGCTGATCCATAATGGCTGCCGGCGCCCATAGCTAAAATGAAAATAGGTCATCCCTAAAAAGACCATGCCTTCAAATTTGATGCTTTCTTCATTGGTACGAAATAGCGCCTTCCGAGTGGTATCTAAAGATGGGTTACAGCCGAAACGACAAAGCTTACATTATGGGAGGAGGCTGATAGGAGTTGTTTGGACATTGAAGCTAATATTGCTGTTGACAAATCAGCCAGTATCCAAAGATTCTAAAACCATCATTCGACGCAACGCCGCCTTTCATCATACCTGATTGCGCTTTTCACGTTCGGATTTTGTCGCATCTGGCGGAATTGTAGCGTCTTCTGAGTCTTTCACCATCTAAAATTGCGTAAAAATTAAAATCTCGCAAAAAACCTGCAAGAAAGCAAGCGACAAGTCCAAATTGTAGCGCTTCGTTGGGTCCGTAAAAAAGATGCTGATGACGAAGGTGAGGCACCTGATAGGTAGTTTTTAGAGCAACTTCAGTTGTTTACCTTATCACATCATCCAGATCTTCCTTCACAGCCAGATCATTACAGAAACCCGAATTGGCCAGAAAATGCAGTGAATAAGGCAAGAACAGTTCGGGCTGAAAGTAGTGTAGCTTCAAAACGGTGTCTGGCAGTAGTGATGTTTGGCGGTAGAGTCGGAGTGCCACGTCCAAATCACCGCGCACCACATTCAGATATCTAGATACAGAAAAATTGTCGACGAAGGGGGACTTACCCTTCCCGTTTACTATCTTCCTCTTGTACCAACGGAGCAAGGCTCCACATGCCAGAAAATTCGATTGAAACCATCCGCCTGGCGAAGGCTTTCCGCAAGCGACGCCCCACATATACTCGAACAGCTGCAGATTCATCCTGAAACGGTTCCTAGCCAAAATCCGCAAGAAAACCCACCAACAACAAGTGAGAAACCATCTGTAGCGCCGCGACAGGTATTTGAGCCAAATATTTGGTGACGTAGGCGAGTCGAATGATCGCTGCGCCTGCATAGGCTCGGAACCACGCCTGCTCCAACGAGCTCATCCGAGCGTCATGCACGTCGCCGGCCACGCTGAGGAATGTCCGGAATAGCGTGATGATTTTTTCAACCAGCGCCAAATCGTCATCGTCGCGCCGGACATTGGTGAGGAAGCGCACCTAAAATATCAGAAGAAAGTCTCGATAAAATCGGTTACATAATGCTCAAAAAAATTTTTAAATTAGCTTACCAGGTATTTCATCGCGTAAATCTTTCGTTTCAGGATTGGCGGGCACGTCGCAGTACTCAGCTCTCGTTCGATTTCTTGCGGGCCCTCATCCACCTCCGGAGACAGGCATATCTGAAAGCAAAAAGTTCAAAAAGCACGCGCGCAACCGAACTAAGATTATGGGTTTCCCCGTTCCAGCTATCGAAAAGCTCGATCAGTAATTTGAAGCAAATTCATTTACACACCTTCGTGACTATATCGCTGGTGATAATTGGGCGCAGCTCCGCTCGCATCTCACTCGGGTAGGCGTTAATAGTTCGCGAGAGTGTTTGGAGAGCGGTCACACATTGCGGATCATTGATGTCGAGGTGTTTGAGGGCGGCCTAAAAGCATTTCAGCAGCAAGTTTTAACAAACCTTTGCCATCCCAACTACAGTGTCCTTCGCTTCGGCTCGCCCGAGGAGCCTGCAAACGCAGACAACGGTTCCCTTTGCTGCTCCCGGAGGTCCACGGCGGGACAGTTCGACACAAATCTTTACGGCCCTAAAAAAGATCAACTAAATCGCAAATGACACTTACTCGTCAGCCCAGCTATGCTCGGAAACTTTGATAATGCTTTGTTCGCACACGTGCAGCAGTACTTGAACTCCAGCCTCCACTAAAAAAGCGCACATTTGTAGAAGGTCTTCTGAAACGTACCGGCAATATCTGGGCAGTGTTCCCTAGTAATAATGCTGAGAATCTCGGGCACGACCAATTCCGAAGCAAAGCAATGCGAGTTATGCAGAGCGAACAACTTCCAGAGCTCCAGCAGTTTCGGCAACAGCTCCAAAGCCTTCGCGTCCCGACATTCCGCTCTTTTCACCATCTTTAGTACGTAGCCGCAGATTTCCTAATAGATACTTTCCAGTAAATTTCACGAATTTACCCCAGCGGTCTCAGTGTCAATTTGAAGCGGCATGGATCGTTCGAAAAGTTCCTTGACCATTGTTCGAAACTCCGCCGGGAACGACCGGTCGTTAGAATGTCTTTCCGTGGCCCGGTTGAGGAATTCGGTCTAAAACATAATCAATGATTTTGAGTTTTTCCACTGACCATATTTTGCAACACTTTCTCGCATGTGTACCCAGGCTTCAGCATGTATTCCACCAATTCAAAGGCGTGCTGATCTTTCGAAATGAAGTTGGTAAAGAAGCGGAGAGCGTGCATATACTAAAAACAAACTTATTGACAGCAGAAAAATTTACGAACCTTCTGCGACGGAACCCCATGGACTGTCTTCGCAATACGCTTTTCAATTTCCAGTTTAAGTTCGTCAATTTGCTAAACAAATTTAATATCGAGAAAGATATGTCACCTCTCCCTGGCCGGTCCTTGCAGAAAGCAGCAATATGTCCAAGATGGCCCGCCGATACTGCGACTGTGTCGCCAACAATTCGGCGAAGAACCTAAGGATAATAATTTCGAGATTCCCAGACAACATACGCTGCCTCGTAGGTTGTCAGCCGTGCGTACACCTCGAGTGCAACCGCGATGCGCCGATCACGAGGCAGTTGATACGGAATTATGGCGCCCACAAAGCGTCGTTCGATCAGCATCCTGAAAAATGAACACGTATTAGACTTACCACCAAGCCGGCGAAAAAAACAAACGAAAATTCCTCACTTTTCATCTCTCATCTCCGGTTGAGAGTAAAGGTAAAAGATTTTCTTGGCGATTACAGAAATAGTCGCTCGATCATTTGTCGTGTACCTGTCAAAACAGGAGTCAGAACAACATTTCAAAATACCTCTCATCGCGGTAGATTTTCCAATGCAGCTTTGATAACTCCCGAATAGCATGTGCTCGTACTTTCGGCTTCTTGTCCATAATTCTCGAAGCAGCAGCCGCAATCAATTGCTCCGTGACAGCTTCTAGTTTGCGACAGCCGGCTAGCGATGTACTGGCCAGAGCAGCAATCCGCACTTCTTCATCCTCGTCAGCTAATAGTCGAATCAAGCGCTCTAAAAAGGGCCATATCATGAATGAAAAACTGATCTTACCGCACATAGTACCGGAAAGGGAGGGCTGGTCAACCAGCAATTCTCCGGCCTGTGCTGCACACAAGGCCCGAATATCCTTGTTTGCATCGGAAAAACTAAAATAATGATAATTCAGTATCAAAGCTTATCAAACCGTTTGAGAAAGTTCAGCCACAGTGCTTCCTGCTCGTCCGCAAGTCGCCCCTTGTCATGACCGATCAGGACGCACATGATTTTGGTCGCTTTATATCTGACTTCCGAGTCAGGAGACTAAAAAGCCCTGTAAGGAATGAGCGCCCAAATTACCGATAAATGCTTTTGGAAGATTTGCAGGACAGGATAGGCAACTTCGGGAACCAACGCATGGATCTCGCAAATCACTTGGTAGAGCTTCGTCGCCGAGCCTCCACAAAGAGAAAAGTCGTCCGGCATCCGATTGGTCACGCCAACTTGCGCACAGAGCTGAAATAACCGTAATCAGTCGGTCAGGGGCGCTTGACCTCATGAAACGGAGCAGAGAGTACGGTCGAAGCCGCCATGATCACCTTCTTCGCCAGGCGATAGCAATTCGGGGAATTCAGCTAAAACCATTTATTTTCGACGACAACTAGATATACCTTTGTCGGCGTCGTCAGGTTCACGAAAATAGCGTCCATCGCCTGATCCGATATCATCGGCACTTCGGTTAGAAGATTTGAAATGACCATCACGGACATCGAAAGGATCTAGATCAATACTGTCGCAAAGATTGTTCCAATACTTGGATCACGGAGCCTTCCTTCTCGGCAACTTCGTCGAATTCGTCGCCATTGGCCGCCGGTTCAGGCTTCTCTTCGGCATCTTCATCGAGAGGCGGTTCAGCACTTCCCTCCTTGGCTGGATCCTAAATACGCTGTTGCCATGAAAACATGAGCAAGTACCTTCAATTTTCCAGCAATGCCAAATAGCGTCACGATGGTATGCCGCAAAAGTTCCTGTTGGTCCTTCTCAGAGATTTCAGTGACCAAACCCAGTGTCCCCATCGCGTAAAGGTTCTAAAGAGTATGGTGTGTCTCTCGAATCAGAGATACCTCTAGAATATAGTAATGCCGACGGTAGATAGCTGAATCAGGTTTTTCGAGTCCACGCAGGCCATCAATAAGACAAGTTAATGCTTTCTAAAAAAACCGTTGGAGATAAGAATGTGTCAAACGTTTGTATCTTCCGGCCTGATGAAGGGATTATTGGGCGATGAAAGCCGAAAGATGCCCGCCAGGCAGTTGGCGATGTACACCTAAAGATCATAAATGCAACGGGATTGAGCATACCTGGATTTCTCGATTCGAGTGTGCAACAAATTCATCTTTGATCAAGTGTTGGGCGAGTGGTCGAAATTTTATATCAGCGCTTTTGGTCGTCTCGGTGTCCAGCGTCATGAATGTATTCGTCATTGCCTAAAACCGATTCAAAAAATTAAAAGTATACTAACGTTCAGCTTTTTGATCAGTTCGCTGTCGCGCATCTCTGGTGATACAGGCCCGCATCCTGGCGGATATTCTATTGAAGATTCATTTGCTCGCGGCATTTCTAAAAGGAAGGATAGTCCTATCCCATAAGAATAACGGAAAACGAAAGTGTAAACCGGACGCAATTTGGAGAAGCTGTGAAAAAGATTTTCAACGCAATTTTGAAAGCTGAATGGACAAAAGCCTATTAGCCCGCACTATGCTACAAGCCTAGCTAATGGGGTCCGATCGAGTGACACCAAAATGCTATGCACAGAGGCGAAAGGCGCGGGAAAGAAAGTCTGAAACGCCAGCAAAATGGCAGAGAAGGCTGACAGAAGTATCGAAAACAAAAACAAATGGAAATCCGACCATTTGACGCTGCTACAGATCGCAGAGACCCGGTTAAACGATTTATCCGAAAAGTAAGTCCATTGTAGCATTTAAAAAACATCGACAGCCGGGAACGCATAAATACAACACAACCAATTGATATCCCGAGCCCAAGACAAAGTATAAATGTACAGGTTTAGGTAGAAGAAATCTAATTTCCGCGCGCAGCCTCGTCTGCTCGTGTCGGTTGAGGAGCAGGCGGAGGACGGCTGAGAGGAGCGATCTCGGGATTTGCTTCACCTTCGAAGGCCAGCCCAAGAATTGCCGGGTCTTGGACCTAAAAAGGAAATAGTTGGCCTAAGTAAAAGACATACTCTTGCATTTTCCGCATTGAAGCCAGCTTGCATAAGCGTGTCCTCATCGTTCAAACGCACCCATCGCTCGTTGTTCAGCCACATCAGCGTGAAGGTGGCCGGGTCTTTCTGAATGAGTTGCGAATATTCACAAATTGATTACCTCGAGTAATTTCTGAGGCCACTTCTTCAGATCGGCAACGGGACGATCGCTGATGATCGAGGCCATGATGTGGGTTTTTCGCCATCGGAGTTCGAAGTGGCATTCGACGGGGATTCCCAAATCCTAGAAAAAAAGGTAATCTCATAAATCAGAAGAAACCTACAGCCATTTCAATAGTTGAAACGTTTTGTCGTTCAGCGATGCGGGAACAAAATCCCAAAAATTATTTTTGGCACGAATTTTGGCGTGTTCGCAATGCTCCAAAGGACGCTAGCTACCCGTCCCAGTTACAAATTACGTTCAATGTAGCAAAACGGAACGCATCTAAGATTTTTTGAATTTTCCATTTTCTATAGGGTTGTTTTTCAATATGATTTTAATTAGATTTTTAATTCCAAACTATTGCTTGCCGAAAAGTTGATGAAATGCGCTGTTCCAGATGGATACTTCGGGCTTCAACAGCGATTTTACCGAGTCACCCTCCAAAGCGGAACAACGGCAACAGGAGCAAGCTCAAATCCGCGAATTCTTGGCGAATCAGCCTCCGGCTGGCCCATCGTCTTCGGAGGATGAGGTGGCAATTTTTCGTGGCTTATTTCTGTGTTTTAGGTTGAGACAGAAGATCGCACTTTCGAGCGCCAGTTAGATGTTCAACGCGACCATGGTAGTTATACTGTTTGCCCTGTTGTTGACCTTGAAAGCGCCCGAAAAGCAGCCGAGGTTTTTGTATTTTAATAGTAAGATATAAATATTTTAAGGTGATGGCCCTGCGGGCGGAGATCGAAGCTATTTTTGCGTCCATCAAGACCGAAGCCGAAGAACACCTGGCGTTGAAGAAGGAGGTAATTATTCGTGCTTTTCTATGATTTCGAGTTTAGCTTCTTCTCGAGCTCGGCGAGACAGCATCCAAGTGTATGGACGAGCGAGATAAGGCTAGAAAAACCATTAGTTCGTAAATACTTGTTTAGGCATTCGGCCTGATTGCGAACATCATGAACACGGATAATATCAATGAGGCGACCCCTTCAGAATAGAAGAATTCACGAATGTATTGCTCTCACATGAATTGAATTTTACTAAATAAAGAACTTTTGCACGACTTTTGCAGCACCTTTCCATGGATAGAACCCGGTGTGTTAAAAAGGCTATTTTGTTTGATGGATGCTTATTATTTTTTTTTGGGAGGGTACTATCGCCTACTATCGATGACCTTGATCCAGCGTCTACCGCAGGAAGTGGTAAATCGGATTGCAGCTGGTGAAGTGATTGTGCGCCCAGCTAATGCCGTCAAGGTTTTTCTCGTCTTGTCGTTTAAACGCCTGTTAGGAGCTGATCGAGAATTCCTTGGACGCGGGTGCAAAGAAGATTAGTATCAAAATCGAACGGGGCGGAATAGATCGGATTTGTATTGAGGTAGGCGAGCTGTGCGTTGCGAATTGCTTTAGGACGATGGCTGTGGTATTCCGTACGACTCATTGCCCATCTTATGCGAGCGCTTCACCACTTCGAAACTGCAAAAGTTTGAAGACTTGCGAGCCATGGAGACATTTGGATTCCGTGGGGAAGCGTTGAGTTCGCTTTCACAGGTCTCGAAAGTATGTTCCTTACGCCGTTTTGCTAGTCTGGGAATTTAGGTCTTCGTTCGTACGAAAGTTCAAAGCGAGCCACTGGGCGTCTCGGCGAGCTACATTGGTATTGTCTTCGCCTCGGCCATATGGCGCATCCTTTTTAGACGGCAAACTGCAGGAGCAAAGTCAATGTGCGGCGCTCGATGGGACCATCATCGACGCTCGCCAGTTATTCTACAACAACTCTACGAGACTGTTGGTGCGTGGAATTAACTTGGCTTATGATAAAGTGCGTTTAGGCGTTTAAGAATGTTGCAGAGGAAACGAGCAAGGTCGTTGAAGTCGTGCAACGTTTTGCGATTTTACACCCGTAAGAATGAATTTTTGGCGCGGATCTTTCATTCAGGAGCGTGAGATTCAACTTGAACCACGGAAAGTCGCTATCCACGAAAGGAAATGGGGATCGGAAGGCTGTGATTGCGACGCTTCTAGGACCAGAATACGCAAAAGTAACGACACTAGCGTTTTTTTGGAGAGTTCACCTTCAGGATATGGTGCCGCTCGAGCTGTCGAATGCGAAGCTTCACTACAAATTGGATGCACTGGCTTCGAATCCGATCTCTCTCGTCACGGCTCAATCAAATCCGAGCAAGAAGGTATTCCTGGGATCTTTTTCGAAATAGAAATTTGTTTGCAGAAATATTTCGTGCTGTATGTGAACAACCGAATCGTACACAATGACTACTTTAAACGGGCGATTGAAACTGTTTTTGCAGATGCAAATATGGCCTACTTGTTCCTGTACATGGACTTGCAGGTATATTCGTTGCTCTAGCTTGTTACTCTTACAGATCGAGCCCTTCTGCATTGATGTAAATGTGCATTCGTCGAAAGAACGCGTCGAATTCCTGAATGGAGATGCGATTATTGATGAAGTGAAGGAGGTGCGGGCATATTATTCGGACAATGCCATTTTCAGGCTCTTCGCACTCGTATTTTGCACAGTACAGCCACCCAGGATACGTCGAATAACTTGAGTCAAACGGTCATACGAAATTTTACAGTGTCCTTGGTGGAAAAGTGGGAATTTTCCATTCGCAAAATGATGCCGTTTTAGAGGACCCCCGAGTGCAAGCCCTTCGGCTTCAGAGACAAGTCTTGTTGCGAGTCCACTAACCACTAGACCGGAGAATGTGAGGGTTTTTCTTAATTTTTTTGGAAAATTACAAAATACTTGAGAGATGCTAGCCGCTAATTACATGTTCTAGATGCAATTTTTTAAAGTTCTAAGTTTTGTAAACAGCTATGTAAAATTTCCTTTTAGCACCTCCGAACGGATTACAAGCAACAACGTCTTGATCATTTTCGCCTGGAACAGCTGGAAAATCAGCCAACGCAGCTTATCGAAGAGACAGTTCATGTAAGCCGGCTTCAAGATCCTATCATCTTCCAGGAGGACGACGCCCTATCCAATCGGCTCGCCGAGCAGGTGGCGAAACTGCGCGAAGCCGCGATGATTGGCATCTCGACAGACTTTTTGGATAATTTTAAAGCAAGCCCTTTTTTTACTAAACTTGACGTTGTTCAGCAACTGGTCCTTGTTGGCGCTATTGATTGCGAGTATGTTCTAATGCACGATGCAGCCAACCGGCTCGTTTTGCTCGATTTTGTAACACTTACGCAGGAACTTTTTTACGATGTAGGTTCCTTCTGCAGGTGCTTATATTTCGTTTAGATTTATATTTTTGGCTTTGGCCATCTCGGGTCATATGAAATACAGTCACCCTTGGATGTGCGCAGATTATTGTCGGCCAGCTCTAATGACATTGACATTGATGAGGTATATTTATTTTCTTATCAGGCAATCTTCAGAGATTTAGGCCATCGAATTTTTCAAAGCACACGAATGCATCATGAGAAGATATTTTTCGGTCGAGTTTTTGGTGGAAGAAGGTAACACCTTAGTAAATTGTGTCAAGATTAATTTTAGAAAATCTACTTCTTTCGAAAATCCCCTCGCTCTTGGACGGCTACTGCCCACAGCTTGAACGAATCCCAGAATTTCTTTCTGACTTGTTGTCCATCCAATTTACCGAAGTATCTGGGCAACGGAAATGATCAGGCAATATTCCTTTCCAGGATGGTTTTGATACCGGCGATGCGGCTCGCTGCACCGCGAAATTTTTCACGTTGAAAAAGGAGTTTTGCGAAGATGGAAAGATCAACACGTTGCTGGGAGCGGCCGCCCAATTTGAATCGTATGCGGACGTTATTCGGGTAGATCCACGTCTACTGTAGAGATCATATTTTTTAGTTTTTGTTGCTCCCCCGTATGAAGAAACAGCTGATTCCGCCCAGCCACTGGGCATACGATGGGGCGGCGCCATCGCCCTTCAGATGGGTCACTTCGAATTCGGATATTTATAAAGTATTTGAGAGATGTTAGATGTATGGTCTTTTACGTTGATAAATTTTGGTTTCCATTTCCGGGGCGCGAGAAAGCAGATAATAGGACATGCCGAGTTACTCTTTAGAGAGACGAGCTGTTTTATCAAATTTCTGGGTTAGAAAAAAATAGGTTCTTGGACGTTTGGCCGGTTGATATCGAAGTTCGTATTCCGCGTATTGAACTCTAGAGTTCTCGACAGCTGTTTGCTGGGCCCCCGGCCCGTTTTTGTTTTGTCGGGATTATGTGTGGTTTGGGGAGGGCAATGGCCCAGTTGTGAGGGTATAAAAGCTGTAGTTTCTACGCCGAATCCACTTGAAACAACTTTTTGATCCATAATTCGGTTTTCTAATGTGAAGCTTATCAGGAAGCATGCCCGGCGCACATTTGGGCCATAAAAGGGCGGCGTGTCGGGTCAACGCCCCTAATGACGCCGGGAAATGTCACCTCGGATTCCATTCCGTTTTGTTCTGTACTCATCTTCTTTTTTAGAGCGATCATTGACAACGCAGAATTTTTCTTTTTTTTTTAGCGAATGAGGCTCTGGGTAAATTTTTTCCTATTCCTCGGATTAGCAGTGCAATCATTGGCTGAGGATGATAAGCTAAGGTAAGTCGACGTAAATAAATGGATTGATGATTTGTAGATTCGATTGCCACCCCGAAAAAGATGCCAACAAAGACAACTGTGAGGCCAGGGGATGCATTTGGTCGGAACATCAGTCAGTGAGTTTGATAGGCCGGCGGGCTCAGTTAGATTTTAGTAAAATTAAATAAAGTAAATTTTGGTAAACTTAATCATTTTTTTGGGTGAAAAGCTTGCTCTAGCTCCTAGTTCAATCCCCACGTCTTCCAGATATACTTTTAAAGCCAATTATAGGAAGACACGTTCCTCCCATGGTGCATCCAGAATCGCACGGCGATCGGCTACCGGGTAACAGCTCAAAATGGGAACACGGTTTCACTACAGGTTCGAGTGGCTTGAAATTTCCATGAGACGGGTTTAGAAAAACTCTGGCCCTAAATCTCCGTGGGACCAAGACATTGCGACGATTACGATGAAAACGAAGGATATCGACAACGTGCTAAATGTGTGGATTGGCATTGAAGGGCGGTGAGTTTTTCAACCAAACGAATTATTTTAAAATAAGCCTCAAAATACCGTTGATTTGATTAATTGAGTTGCCAAAGTCATATAAATAAGTAAAGGGCCATTATATGAGTTGTGTATAAACAAAATTAGAATGGAAAAGGATAAATTACTCTAATTTGGTGTTTAGCGATAGAGAGGATACCATAAATTGAATATTTATGCGTAATGTTAAATAAAAAATCAACAAAATTCCAGCTTTGAGCCGCAGCTCGATTTACCCAAGGAGACGGTGCCCGGCTCGGACTCGCTATTCGTGACCATCAACAACACTACGGACCCATTTTCATTCACCGTGAACCGGAAGAGCAACCAGCGAACGCTATTCGACACCAGCATTGGTGCGTCCAGAAAAAAAACCTTTTTGACGCCGAAATTTAGAAGATTTTAAACTCATTTTTACAGGCGGCCTCATTTTCACGGACCGCTTCATCCAAATCGCAACCTATCTGCCGTCGGACCGGATGTACGGATGGGGCGAGAATATTCACCAAACGATTAACGTGCGCAAAATTCTGGAAGGCAATAAGACTTCGTTTAGCACGACTTGAGCCGATATTTGAGATGGGGTATGCTGGCCCGGGACGAGCCGCCGAATAGTCATGGTGTCGATACGAAGAACCTCTATGGTATATCGATTTTTTTTAAACTTTTGAACGAAAACGTTGAAGTATATTGTATATACTGATTTTTATCGATTTAAATTTCAAAAGGTTTAAAACTTAAGGTCTAGTCAAGGTTAACAAACGTCATTTAAAGTCAAGTTTTTTTAAGTTTTCAGGCGTACACCCTTTCTATATGGTCCTCGAGCCCGATGGCAAGGCGCATGGTGTGTTGATTCTGAACAGCAATGCCCAGGCGAGCAGTACCCTCGTAATAAAAATTTTGTGAATTCAGGACTTGACGACGTTGCCCTACCCGGCGCTGATCTATCGGACGATTGGTGGAAATTTAGACATGTACTTCTTCCCGGGGCCCACTCCCGAAGACGTTACCCGCCAATACTACAACTTTATTGGACGCCCGTTTTTGCCGGCGTACTGGGCGCTTGGGTATCAGGTAGAATTGAGAATTAACTTAAATTATTTAATTTACGTGGTTGAGTAATAACAATTGCAGAAACTATCTAAAATAGGCTATTTACTGTAATTTAAGCTCTGCCGCTACGGGTATAAAAGTCTGGACGAGGCCAAGTCGGTGATCGCCGATGTCCGTGCGGCCGGCATCCCCATCGACGTCGCGATGTTCGACATCGACTACATGAATCGATACAAGGACTTTACAGTTGGGGATGTATGTACTTTTTTAGCGTCTTTTGCTTGTCCTATATAATGTATCGTCAAGGGATAATTCTTAGAACTGGTCCGACCTGTCCTCCTACACGTCGGTGATGCACAGCTGGGGAATGCGGCTGATTCTGATTTGGGATCCGGCGATTCAAGTGGATTATGAACCTTATCAGAGAGCGATTGCTGCGGTGGGTTAAATGGCTTAAAATCCATTAAAATTGGAGTTTTAAACGATTAGACTGGTAACAAGTTTCGTTTCCAGGGTGCCAAATTCATCGAGTGGGACCAGAAAAGCCAGGTGCAAAACCAGATCAACGACCTGTACCCGTTGACGAAGGACACGACGACCATGTTGGGAGTTGTAAGTGCAGGATATTTTTCAAGGATAAATCTTTTCCAGGTATGGCCCGATCGTCACGTGGCGTTCCCGGACTTCCTCGACCCGACCGGCAAGACGTTGCAGTGGTGGCGGGATGAGTTCAAGCGATTCCACGATCAGGTGGCTAAAATTGGTCGTATAACAAAATGTGGTTATCTCCTGCAGGTGGCCTTCGACGGCAGCTGGATTGATATGAATGAGCCGTCGGTGTTTGGGACAAATGATCAGCACCCATGGTAGGTACCGAGTTGTTCAATGCTAGAAGTACCTAGTAGCATAGCAATAGTTAGTTTAACAGTGTGCTTGAGTAAATTTGACTATATTGAAGTGGAAAAAATTTCTAAAAATGTTAAAAATTATAAAAATTGACGTTTTGCTCAAAAATCGGAACAATTCGATCCTAAAGAAAAAAGTTTGTTTGGGTTTTTTTTTGGTGAAGTGATGTTCTGATAAGCCCCCCCCGATAATTCGAAAGAACCTATGTTTCCTATTTTATTATCATCAGAATTATTTAGGTACTTTGACAACCCGGACCACCCCGATGACCCGCCGCTCTTCTGCCCGACCACCGGCGACGATGCCTACTGGGAGAATGCGCCCTACCTCACCCAGGCCGCGTTCAACTTTGATGGGGTAAGCAGAAAATCGACAAAAAGCGAATTCTAAGTTTTGAAGTGTATTTTAACGTACACAGGAATCGCTATATTTCCCATTAGAATTTTGTTTTTACGAGACTTTTCAAATGTTTAGGGCGCGCTCTGGACAAAGACGCTATGCATGTTGGCGCGCACGGCCAACCGCACCCAACGCTTCTACAACACAAAGGTTGCGAATTTCCACGGTTCCATTAATTTTTTCTGTATTTATAGAATTTATACGGTTGGTCGGAAGCCAAGGCGACAATCGACGCGCTGCAGGGAACGACGGGACAGCGTGGCGCTGTCATTACAAGGTCTAGTAATTGTTGCGGAACTGGAAAATTTAAACTTTTCCTTTTTTAACATTATGAAGTTTATCTTAGTTGTTTTTTTTGCAGAAGCACTTTCCCGTCAATCGGACGCTACGCGGGGCACTGGCTAGGTGACAACACGGCCCGATGGGATGACTTGAAGACCTCGGTCGTCGGTTTGCCTTTTTTAGAATAATAGATTCCATGATTTTTCAGGCGCCCAAGAATTCAACCTGTTCGGGATCCCGTACGTCGGCTCCGACGTGTGCGGCTTCATCTCGGCGACAAACGAGGAGCTGTGCTTGCGGTGGCAACAGATGGGCTCGTTCCACTCGTTCTTTAGGTGAGTAAACGCTTAGTTCTTACTTTTTCGCTGACTATTTTTAGAAACCACAACGACAACGGCTCGCCGCCGCAGCAGCCCACCGTTTGGCCGAGCGTGGCGAACGCGACGCGAAAGGCGAACCTTTATCGCTACCAGCATTTGCCGTATTTGTTTTCGTACGTTTTTAAGGTGTAACTGGCGAGACCAGCCAACTTTCCAGATTGCACTTTGCGGCCTCGTTGCGCGGTACCCCGGTGATACGCCCCGTGTTCTTCCACTATCCCACCGACGAATACGCGGCCACGCTGTCGCATCAATTTATGTGGGGTCCGGCTATCATGGTGGCCCCCGTCACGGACCCGGTCAGTAGTAGCTTGATGTCGCAAGTAGGGTTGTTATATGACTTGAGTCGCCACCGACTTGCGTCGGCGAAAATGCAAATGACTTGAGTCGGCAACGACTCGCATCGGAAAAATTATGAGTCGGAAAGGACGGATTGAAATGTTAACGATTCAATTCGTAAACGACGCGAGTCGCCAAACGACTTGAGTCGGAATGGAAATCAGTCGGATGGAACGACTTGAAATCGCGACGACGCAAGTCGCCGACGACTCAAGTCGTTTGCGTTTTCAAGTCGTCGGAAGTGAATTTATGCAAATATATGTTCATGGAAATCATTTTGATCGACCAACTCTATTCTTGTCTAAACAGAGAGACAACGCCGCACCACTCTTTACGCTACGATTGGACAAGAGATCAGGTCCCACCGACCCTATTCCATAGAAAGCTGTATAAAAACTGCCGTAAATGCAGGAATTGGTAAAGCTCGAGCTGAGGAGCCCAGGGAGCCGGGTGCTCAGGGAGTTCAGGGAGCTTCTGAAGGTATATTAAAGTAGCAAAAACGTTAATTTTGAAGTGCCATACTATTCTGAGTATATTACTACAAGGTTTAATAAGATTTACGGCTTTTCTAAAGTTATGCTGCAAAATCAAATAGGGGATCAAATCGCAGCGCGAAGCGGCCTTTGTCCGCTAGTTCACTGTTTTGATACAGCTTTCTATGGAAGAGGGTCGGTGGGACCTGATCTCTTGTCCAATCGTAGCGTAAAGAGTGGTGCGGCGTTGTCTCTCTGTTCAGACAAGAATAGAGTTGGTCGATCAAAATGATTTCCATGAACATATATTTGCATAAATTCACTTCCGACGACTTGAAAACGCAAACGACTTGAGTCGTCGGCGACTTGCGTCGTCGAGATTTCAAGTCGTTCCATCCGACTGATTTCCATTCCGACTCAAGTCGTTTGGCGACTCGCGTCGGGGTGCGATTTGAATCGCGCCGATTTTAAATCGCAAGTCACGGTTTTAAAAGCATACGATTCAGTTCGTCAGTCGACTCCAGTCGTTTACGAATTGAATCGTCAACATTTCAATCCGTCCCTTCCGATTTATAATTTTTCCGATGCAAGTCGGTGCCGACTAAAGTCATATAACAACCCTAGTCGCAAGTCATCCTTTCTAACTATTTCCTAGCAAAAAACTTACAAATTTTCATTAAATAGTTAAATTTAGATCGAAAAATTGTGCTCTCGAGCGAAAATCACAAAATTTTCGGTTTTTCGAAAAGCTTTTCTCACCCTTTTTCAAAGTATTCCTGGTTATAATTTAGTTAAAAATTAGAAATTACAGCAACTAAACTAAAATAATAGAAAACACTTTATAAGATTACTAAGGTAGCCTCGCCCCCACCGGAAAGACTCGGTTTACAGTCAAAAGAATGACAACATTTTCAGGGTATAACGACACAACGGGTGTATCTACCATCGGATACTTGGTACTCCATCTACGACTACAAGCAGAACCTGCGCGTTGCCAGCGGGTACGCGGATTGCCAGGCGCCCACCACCTACGGCGTGCCGGCTTTTATTCGAGGTAGGCGGATTTATAAAGCGTGTAAGACTGGTTTAATCATGACTTTCAGGCGGCTACATCGTACCCCGGCAAACACCAGACGTCACAACGGAAGCCGCGCGGAAAAACCCGTTCGGGCTTCTGGTGGCTGTAGGTATGTGATAGATAGAAATCTGCGTGAGTAACGATTTGAGGACGAGGAATAGGGAGCAAGAAAATATTCAAGATTCAGGGGCTAATCATACGGCATCTGGCGAGCTATTCTGGGACGACGGCGTCTCCATCGTTGACGATATCCGCCAGGCAAACTACTACAACTTCAAGTTTTCGTTTGCCGACTTGCCGACATCAGGATTGCTGACGATTGAGGCTGTTGCTGTGGCGGTAGGTGTTTTTGGAGAATAGGATTTTACTTTTGCATAGAAAGTTTTCGAAAATGCAAATATACGATTACAAAAACCCCGGATTTTTTTCTGTTTTCCCAGGATCCAAATATATAGAGGAAATCTTTCTAAGCTGTTTTTTTTACTGGCCCTAAACGTAAAACCCCAGAAATTTCGATTAAAAATACAAAAATATGGATTTTTCAATCATTTTTATTGTTTTTTCCACCCCAAATACAGTGATTTTTTGAGTGAAAACACGTTACTACGCATTCTTTAGCTTACCAGGAAAAAATAATTAGTCCCCCGCTAATGGAAAAGAACCGTCCTCATAAATGGCTGTTTAGAAAAATCTACCGCTACCCACGCTCAACGAGATCATAGTGCTCGGCTATACAAACCAGCCGGATCTGACGAAAGCCACGCTGAATGGTCAACCCATCAACATCAATGTGCAGACGAGTGGATACAGCCCACTCACGCAGGCACGTTTTTAAGGGTTCAGCAAGCCAAGATTGGCGATATCTTGTTCAAAATCCGGTCCGTGCGCTACACAATTACATAGCGTAACGCATGGATTTCATAAATAAATTGTAGAAGCAAGAGGAATTTTTGTAGATTCTTTCTCTCGTTTCACCTCCCAAAAATTGCCAGATTTCAGGTGCTCACCATCCGAACCCAGGGCCTCATCGACTTGACCAAGTCCACGGCATTCAGTCTCAAATGGCCCGTCGTCAAGCTGGGCAACGAGTTGAACAACAACAAGATCAACAACGATCACCCCCACCAAGAGCTGATTTAAAAAGGATGATACTATGTAAAGTTGAAAATATGAATAAATGCGCTTGCTTTTATTCGAAAAACTTATGATAATAGTTCACTAGCTGCATCAGACTTCTGGCGCTTCTTACTAACATTCGGGAGCATGACCGCAAAGGAACGGGAGTGGACGGATCTCAGCCACAGTTATCCACCCGTCACTTTTTCGCACCAGCGGCATCGCGGCGCTGTTGGTCAGATTATTCGAATTGGGAGCGGGTTGGCCTAAAGTGGTGCATTAATCTGGAGTATTTATCTTAAATTATTTCCATTTTAAAAGGTCGCGCTTCAGAATGCCGAAATTCGCATTTTATAAATTTCGGCGCTCTGAATTTCGCTATCAAAATTGCTATCATTGTTGGAATTTTTTGGCGTCGACAAGCATTTTCTGGAGATTTCATTGTGTCGGCATTTTACTTTGTCGAAATTCGTCTAAAAATCACTATTTCGGTATTTTTTCATCTGAAAGTTCGAAAATCGACAGTTCAGGGTATTTATTTTTCGAGAAAGTCAAATTTTGGCATGAATTTCGACGTTTTAGCCTTCGATCAAATCAACATACCGCCTGAATTTGACGTTTTGAAAAGAATCAATGATTATAACGCTACCTGGTCCCCAATGTAAGTAGTCGACTGAACTCCCGTCCCAATAAAGCCACACTTCATCCCGACGCCGGATACCCAGATAGTATTCATCCGCGATTACTCTCGTCGACGAATTCGACCACAGGTAGAGATTTTTGTTCACGAAAATGTTTGAGATTTTGTAGGGAATGCCGCTAGCGTTTCGGCATTGCTGCACACCGTCTTCGAAATTTTTGGCTGAAAAGGAAGGCTGACAAGGAAACCTGGTCAGCACGTGGTTCGACTTCGTACTTGCACTAGCTTAGGCTGAAGTATCAAGCCTACCTTTCAAAAAAGTGAAACAAGCCGGATTGTCCCGTACAGTATAATAGCCGGCAGGGCAACAACATATGCTCAACCCGAACGCCAAGCTTAGCACGCAAATTTGGAAATGCATGGCGTGACAAATGAGAGCGGGGCTGTTATCAAAAATCACTAGTGCCACCCTGCCTTATTATACTAACCCAACACGCTACCCGATTCTGATAAGAAGCCACGATTTACCAGGTACGGATTCTATTTCGTGGTGGGGAAAAGAAACACGGGGCGAAAAATTGTAATGAGGTAATTTTTATACAAAAGGGTTTTGAAACACGAGCTATACAGGTGCTTTCCTCAATGGTCTCTGCTAGCTCTCCTCAATGTTCTCTGCTAGCTTTCCTAAATGGTCTCTGCTAGCTCTCCTAAATGGTCTCTGCTAGCTCTCCTCAATGGTCTCTGCTAGCTCTCCTCAATGGTCTCTGCTAGCTCTCCTCAATGGTCTCTGCTAGCTCTCCTCAATGGTCTCTGCTAGCTTTCCTCAATGGTCTCTGCTAGCTCTCCTCAATGGTCTCTGCTAGCTCTCCTCAATTGTCTCTGCTAGCTCTCCTCAATTGTCTCTGCTAGCTCTCCTCAATGGTCTCTGCTAGCTCTCCTCAATGGTCTCTGCTAGCTCTCCTCAATGGTCTCTGCTAGCTCTCCTCAATGTTCTCTGCTAGCTTTCCTAAATGGTCTCTGCTAGCTCTCCTAAATGGTCTCTGCTAGCTCTCCTCAATGGTCTCTGCTAGCTCTCCTCAATGGTCTCTGCTAGCTCTCCTCAATGGTCTCTGCTAGCTCTCCTCAATGGTCTCTGCTAGCTTTCCTCAATGGTCTCTGCTAGCTCTCCTCAATGGTCTCTGCTAGCTCTCCTCAATTGTCTCTGCTAGCTCTCCTCAATTGTCTCTGCTAGCTCTCCTCAATGGTCTCTGCTAGCTCTCCTCAATGGTCTCTGCTAGCTCTCCTCAATGGTCTCTGCTAGCTCTCCTCAATGTTCTCTGCTAGCTTTCCTAAATGGTCTCTGCTAGCTCTCCTCAATGTTCTCTGCTAGCTTTCCTAAATGGTCTCTGCTAGCTTTCCTCAATGGTCTCTGCTAGCTCTCCTCAATGGTCTCTGCTAGCTCTCCTCAATTGTCTCTGCTAGCTCTCCTCAATGGTCTCTGCTAGCTTTCCTCAATGGTCTCTGCTAGCTCTCCTCAATGGTCTCTGCTAGCTCTCCTCAATTGTCTCTGCTAGCTCTCCTCAATGGTCTCTGCTAGCTCTCCTCAATGGTCTCTGCTAGCTCTCCTCAATGGTCTCTGCTAGCTCTCCTCAATGTTCTCTGCTAGCTTTCCTAAATGGTCTCTGCTAGCTCTCCTAAATGGTCTCTGCTAGCTCTCCTCAATGGTCTCTGCTAGCTCTCCTCAATGGTCTCTGCTAGCTCTCCTCAATGGTCTCTGCTAGCTCTCCTCAATGGTCTCTGCTAGCTTTCCTCAATGGTCTCTGCTAGCTCTCCTCAATGGTCTCTGCTAGCTCTCCTCAATTGTCTCTGCTAGCTCTCCTCAATGGTCTCTGCTAGCTCTCCTCAATGGTCTCTGCTAGCTCTCCTCAATGGTCTCTGCTAGCTCTCCTCAATGTTCTCTGCTAGCTTTCCTAAATGGTCTCTGCTAGCTCTCCTCAATGTTCTCTGCTAGCTTTCCTAAATGGTCTCTGCTAGCTCTCCTCAACCAAAAACAAGCTCAATCTAGCTTCCCTCTAGGTCCATTTCAAGTGGTCAGCTAGCCAGCTCATGGTTTTCCTTCTCAAAAGTCATCTGGAGAGTCTTGTTCGCCAAGTGGCGGACATGAAAAAATGGGATTTAAGCGCGGAAAGGGGGGTTGAAAAAGAGGGTGAACAGGGGGCGTTGTTCGGGCACTCATCCCCCCTCTCCTCGGTTGTATGTATGTTGCCCGTATGAGAAGGGGGACAAAGCGGGGCCTAGGATGGGCCCTTGGTTGGGCCCTAAGCATCCGTGGCCCCGGCTTCTCCCCCCAGCCACTGACCACCACTCAAAGTGACGGGCCGTGTGTCAATTACCACGCTGACTCGGTGTCGCCATTCGCCGTTTCGGTGGTGGCCCATCAGATTGGCGGGGCCAAACCGCAGCCAATCACTTTGGTCTTCAGATCAGGAAATTACGCGTCAATTTAGGGGGCTAGGGGGGCATGAAATTTCATGTGTAAACCCCTGAAGCTGATTTCCAAATCAGTTGTCAAATTCATACGAGACGCTATGCAATTCGCCGTCACGCTTCGAACGCGTCTACGCTAGCAGTTTTTCGCTTTTCCGGATGCTAGGCTTCCCTGTTCCTTTAAAATTTTAGGGCTTACCGGCGGCTTTAAATGATGTCTGAAATCTTTCTCTCTATCTCTTTCCCCCTCCCATTCGCTGCTCCCTATCTCCCTATCTCTCTCTCTCCCCCCCTCTCTCTCTCTAGCTTTCTTTCTCTATCTCTCTCGCTGTCTATCTCTCTCACTCTCTCGCTCTCTCTCTCTCGCTCTCTCTCTCTCTCCCTCGCTGTCTGTCTCTCTCCCTCTTACTCTCTAAGAGAACAACTTCTGTCGCTTCCCGGTCCCTTTAACTTCCGCAAATTCAACTACAACCCCGATCGGAACAACTCAACCCGGGGGGTTATATTCCGCCGAGGTTAGCCGGGTGCTGCGAATTATTTATGTGGCCCCCCGGCTAGGTAAGGCATCCCCCAAACTTTTGTTCCCTCCAGGGGGTGCCATGTCCCCTTTGGTGTGTTCGGCGGGCCTATGAACTCTACGAGCGTACTCCGGAATACCGGATTGCTTCGTAGTGCCCTTCTTTTTCGATGCGTCTATCGTAATCTCTCAAAGTTTTTGAAACCTTTAATATCTTTCTCTTTCTCTCTCTCTTTCTCTCTCTCTCTCTCACTCCTTGATTTCATATTTCGCTTTTTGCATCCCCAACCAGTCTGCCCGTAGTAACATAAACGTTGCCCGCAGATGCAAAAGGCTGAAATCGGACGCCGCATGGCTTTCACCGGGGTGTCGTCCCTCTTTTTTCTGTTTCGACCACCGAATAGCCCGTCGGCATGCAAAATGGACATTGCCTGGGGCGCGGGGGTGTCACCTTCGGTCATCATCGTTTTGAGACCTACGCCTAAGGAATTTAGAGGGTTTTATTAGGCTTTGAAATGAGGCTTTTGGGCCGGCTTGCAGAGACCATTGAGGAGAGCTATCAGAGATCATTGAGGAGAGCTAGCAGACACCTTTGGAACCCTCCATTGTCTTGCTCACTCTTCTGTCAGTTTTCCCCTATTTCTCAAGCTCCGCATCATTCTCTCTCTCTCTCTCTCTCTCTCTCTCTGGCTCTCTCTCTCTCTCACACTCACCCGCCCCCACTCATAATTCAATGTAAACAGCTCGTGGTCGAGAAGGCGCCAAGCCGCGTGGATTACCCCCGGAAATGCATACTTCATTTGCGGTTCGGGATGCTAGAAGGAGGGATAGCGTATGCTAGAGCCTTCGAAATTCTAGCCGACACACTTCTGAAGTAAGGTCCGAATGGGAGAAGGGGTCGGATTCCGGGTTTGAAAGGCCACTTGTAGGGCAGCCAGTCGAATCGAATGATAGCTTTCAGACTGGGGTTGGGTGCATTTCAGGGATAGCAAGCAAGAAAAAAGTTTCCGTAAGAGCCTCTGCTAGCTCTCCTCAATGATCTCTGCTAGCTCTCCTCAATGGTCTCTGCTAGCTCTCCTCAATGGTCTCTGCTAGCTCTCCTCAATGGTCTCTGCTAGCTCTCCTCAATGGTTTTTGCTAGCTCTCCTCAATGGTCTCTGCTAGCTCTCCTCAATGGTCTTTGCTAGCTCTCCTCAATGGTCTTTGCTAGCTCTCCTCAATGGTCTTTGCTAGCTCTCCTCAATGGTCTCTGCTAGTTCTCCTCAATGGTCTCTGCCAGCTGCCCCCAATTTCACACCTCATTCTAAAAGGCATCAGGGCGTTTCGGTAACCCATTAACACCTCGACCAGCTGGCGCTTAGAGTACGGTACCCCCTTCCCCGATTGCGCCATTTTCAAAGCCATCCCCTCCCTTGCTGGCCGCCCCAATTTGCATAAGCCGTGGCCCGGATGGGCACGCGTCAATCAAAGGCGGGCCCGAGATGCGGGTTTAATATGACAATCACTCCTCCTCTACTCTGCCGCCCAAATAGCAGATGGGTGGCCGGAAGGGGGTGAGTTATTCCGCAAACGGAGTGGACTTTAAAATACACTCGTTGCAAGTTCCGGGCTGCAACGCCCAGTCCCCTTAAACCGAATTTCTGAGGTATCCTATCGCAGTCTCCTTTCCTCAATTCTCTCTGCTAGCTGGCCCGATGCGTCCGAGACAAATTTCAAGCCTTTCAAGCTTCTCACTCCAATTCTGGACCAATTTTTTTATTTTTCCGGGAACATCCGGTTTTTCCGAATGTTCTCTGCTAGTTTGCCCTCATGCTCAATACTGATTTTTCATGGTGGGCTGGGCTAAATGACAGGGATTTTCGATTGTCCACGTCTCTTTAGATCGAAAATTTATCATTTCTGAGCTCCAGCGAATTTCCCCATTGTTCTCTGCTAGCTTGCGCCAGGACAGGGCTAAATCAAGCCTTCTGGATCCTTTAATTAGAATCACTGCCAACTAGCCCTCCAAGGTTCCAAAGTTATCTCTGCTAGTTTGCCCTGTCATTGGTCGCCAAATTTCTTTGGGAAGTCGGGTTGATTTCCAGCGTTTTGAGCTTCCCAGTCCCTTTAAAACCAAATGCCATTTTTTCCAGGCAGTGCCACTTTTCCTTAATAATATCCGCCAGCTTGCCCCGCCCCCCAACTTGACGATTGATAGGTGTGTGTGTGTGTTTGTGGGTGGCGGTACAAATTGTTGTGGGTATGCCGCGGCACTCATCGCTCACCTTCACTCCTCCCCCCATACCCAAATGGCCATATGGTGTTTGCCGCAGCGGGGGAGATCGAGCCGCAAAGAAAGGAGATGGTCGGGCCGAGATTAAAGGGACTGGGAAGCGGTTTCGGGGCTGATTTTGACGGCCGATGAGGTCTGTTTGATGGGGATAAGCGGGCCGGCGAAT